TTACCGTTATGTAAAATGAAATAGGTTTCCTCTCTGTATTATTTTATAATTTACGTTTTTCCAATGTGTGTTCAGTTTGACCTAGCAAGAGAGGAAAAATGCGAATTCGTTCCTTTCCAATCACCTAGAGAGGTAATTACTCGAAATGGAAAGATAATTGCAATAGAATTTTGTCGAACCGAGCAGAACGAGAATGGTGAATGGACAGAGGACGAGGAACAAGTCTGCAAATTGAAAGCGAATTTTATTATATGTGCATTTGGTTCAGGATTGCAAGACTCGAGCGGTAATAATTTAACTTTCATTAAAATTTTATTTTCTTCGTAGAGAAGAGTGTTTTTAAAAAATTGTATCGTTTAAGTGACGCAAGCTATGGCGCCCATTAAAATGAATAAGTGGAACTTACCGGAAGTAGACATGGAAACCATGAGTACCTCTGTACCCGGTGTCTTCTGCGGTGGAGATCTTGCTGGTGTTGCTCATACTACCGTTGAATCTGTAAATGACGGAAAAACAGCAGCTTGGTATATTCATAAATATATTCAGGTTAATAATTTTAAAAATCTAATGATATAATCATTTATTAGAGACATGTATTTAGTTTAAAGAATTTTTTATCTACTACCCAATAGAATTCTTATAATTTGGAAGTACCCGAAGTTCCTCAATTACCTAAATTTCACACTCCGATCGATGATGTTGATATATCTGTCGAAATGTGTGGTTTAAAATTTGAAAATCCTTTTGGACTCGCTTCTGCACCGCCGACCACCTGTAGTACCATGATTAGACGAGCTTTTGAGGCTGGATGGGCGTTTGTTGTTACAAAAACATTCTCTTTAGATAAGGTAATTAAATCATTGTTAAGTATCTTTTAAGAAAATTATTTGAAAAAACCAATGTTTCAGGATCTTGTTACAAATATATCTCCACGAATAATTAAAGGCACAACCTCTCGTCACCATTACGGCCCAGAGCAAAGTAGTTTTTTGAATATTGAATTAATATCTGAAAAGTCAGAAGCTTATTGGTGTAACAGTATTACAGAATTGAAAAAAGATTTTCCATCTAAGGTTTAAAGATATATCATAAAAGCTTTTATAAAATTTTCATATCACTTTCACGATAAAAATTTCAAATTTATTTTTAGATTATTATCGCTAGTATTATGTGTACATATAATAGAGAAGATTGGACGGAACTTGCTCAAAAAGCTGAAACAGCCGGTGCTGATGCGTTAGAATTAAATTTATCTTGCCCTCACGGAATGGGAGAATCTGGAATGGGTTTAGCTTGTGGCCAAGTATTTAATCTAAATAATTTATTAATATTTTATTATTAACTACTATACAGATTTTTACACGTTAGGATCCTGAACTGGTAAGGAATATTTCAAGATGGGTTAAGGAAGCCGTAAAGATACCATTCTTCGTGAAATTAACGCCAAACATCACTGACATCGTTTCAATAGCTAAAGCAGCTTACCAAGGTATTTTTCATATATAAATAATTAAAATATTTCATAACAAATGTTTGAAGAAATAATTTTTATAATCATTTTTTTAGGATATGCCGATGGAGTATCTGCCATAAATACGGTTCAAAGTTTAATGGGATTGCACGCAGATGCAACGCCATGGCCAGCCGTTGGCATTAAAAAAGCTACAACTTATGGGGGTATGTCAGGAAATGCAACTAGACCTCAAGCTTTAAGGGCAATTTCTGCCATTTCGAAAAATCTTCCTGGATTTCCAATACTTGGAATTGGTGGTATTGATTCAGCGGATGTTGCTCTTCAATTCTTACATTGTGGCGCATCTCTTCTGCAGGTGAATCAATCAGCCATTTTATTTTTATATAAATTTGTTATGTATAATATTGTTTATATTGAATTATTTTTAAACGGTAAATAGGTTTGCAGCGCTGTACAGAATCAAGATTTTACTTTGATTGATGATTACCTGACTGGTTTAAAAGCCTTGCTATACTTGAAGAGTTTGAAACAAGTAAAAGATTGGGACGGACAGAGTCCACCAACGTTTAAACATCAAAAAGGAAAACCAGTTGTATTACACCATGCTCTTGGCAAAGTAAATGCGATCTTTGGTTAAAGTTAATTGACTGAATGATATATACAGAATGTATAGTGATTGTTTTATGTTTCAGAATATACCATATTTTGGAGAGTATCAAAAACTCCGAGAACAAAAAATAGCTGAGATTAAAGCTAACTCGAATCCGTTCGATAAAATTGACACAACGAGACCTACTTTGAAACCTATTGCGCCTATACCAACTGTAAAAGATGTTATTGGTAAAGCTTTAGATCATATTGGCACGTATAAGGACTTGAATAACAAAGAACAAGTGGTAGCATTGATAGATGATGTATGTTTTAATTGTTTTTTAATTATTTCAATATTTGTTCTTTTTTTTT